CTGAACTGAACTGAACTGAACTGAACTGAACTGAACTGAACTGAACTGAACTGAACTGGTCGGGCACGAAACGGACGGTATCCCGAGATCCGCACAATGAGCTCGGGGAAAGGCACAGAAAATACTTCTGAGGTAGAGCAACTCTTCCATGCTATTGGTACGTGATGATGAATGCGAGTTTATTTTTTCATTAGCACGTCGAGATCCTTCAAAGAGGCAAATTAAGCCGGTGAGCTCATCCCAATTTACACTATTCGATGAGCTTGATAGCGATAGTGATAGCGAGTTTGTTTGTGACGAGAAAGATGATGAAGGTAATTGCAGGCAGAATTTGAATAAAATCTTCTAGGTGATAGTGAAATGGAAGAGAGTGACGAAGAGGCGGAAAGTGATTCCGAATCGAATAAGACAGATTCGTCTACTGAGAGCTCTAAAAACTCTAGCGGCGAAACACCGAGGTCATCTGCTCAGGCCCATGAAGAAACTTATGACAAGTTAGATGACTCAATGCTCCAGCATGAAAGTTCGCAAAATGCTGATGTGTCGTTAGAACAAAAGCCTTTGATCGAACTCCAACATGAAACGGACGCCAGTGCAGCTGTTAAGCCCAGAGGGAAACCTGAGTTGCCCCCAAAGAATGATTTCCTCATATGTATGGTTTGTTTGGGGGATAACGATGATCCAAATGATGAACTAATAGAATGTGATGGTTGTGGAGTGGTCGTTCACGAAGGTATATTTTGTGAAAATAATTTACTTCCTTTAGACTGCTACAAGGTTGTAGACTCCATATTCATGTCTAGCGGCGCTAGTTCATCCAGCACTGATGCATGGTTTTGTGAAGCATGCTTGGCTGGAGTTCGCAACCCGGTAATTTGTGAGATTATTTGATGACGTTTTTAGTACTGTGAACTTTGTCCAAACACAAGTGGTGCGTTTAAAAGGACCGATAACAACCGTTGGGTGCACCTCATATGTGCTTTGTACACCCCAGGTGTTGCCTTTAATGATCCAGAAAGCTTGATGGATGTGGGTGTTCTTTTACACAAGTTTCAATGAATTATTAGGTCACACTTACAGAGTTACCGCTGAAGGCATGGTCCTCTCATGAGTGCTCTTTTTGTGAAGAGAGGTTTTTCGCATGGACTGGCGTCTGCATCTCCTGTGACGCTGGCCTTTGTAGAACGTTTTTCCACGTGACATGGTGGGTTTTCTTTATCTAATATCTCATTTTACTTAGTGCTCAAAAGCATGGGCTTCTATCGGAGCCAACTGTGGACGAGGTAAGTGTTGTGTGCATTCCACACACGTCTGAGTTCAGACTGTGTGCCGAACAGAACGGTAAAATAATCTATGAGAAAAAGCGTTCCATAACTTGCTAGCTTTCGGAATACTACCAGGTTGCCCAGGCCAAGGCAGGTGGATTTTCTTGGGGAGTTCGTAGCCAGAGTCTTCGGCTAGCCAAATCTTGACCCGCAAGGCAGCTGGGCGGTGTGGAAAAACCGCAGTCCATTGGTGGCCGTTTTCCAGTTGATCGAATCATATGCCTTTTGGACAGAGGCAAACCTCCAATCTGCCCAATGCACCTCTATGCCCAATCGACTCGATGACCACTAACATACAAGATAATTGTGTTTCCTATGCCTCCTCATGGCTATTTTGGAATCAGAGTTTTTAACCAACACTTCCAGGCGAACTGCCGGTGGTTCACTGACCCGGTTATAGCTCCCGGATGTTTACTTTTCGTCCTTGCACCTTGGTGAGAAAACACCACCGCACGAAGGTAGCAACTAGAGCTTCCTCAGCAGTGGCTGTTTGAGACACTCGGTCGTTGGGAGCATTTG